TGGTCATGTGGGGTTTTTGTTTTGTTTTAATTTGTTTTTGTTTTTGTATTTTCGAGACAGGGTTTCTCTGTGTAGCTTTGAGCCTTTTCCTGGAACTCACTTGGTAGCCCAGGCTGGCCTCGAACTCAGAGATCTGCCTGGCTCTGCCGCCCGAGTGCTGGGATTAAACAAATAAGGAAGAGGTAACGGGAGGCATTTAAAAGTTAGTCAGAAACAGATTAACATGGCTATCTCTCGAGCCGTAGCAGGAGCCGCAGCAGAGGAAAGGCGCGCTGTTCTAGGAGGGAGGGGTGGAGCCTCTGCATGGCTCAGTCTGCACAGCAGCAGCAGGGTCGGAAACACAGTCAAGTAACCAGACACTCGTGCGGCTAGTCTGCGTGCCGCCAGAGGGCAATTTCACCTGTCACGGGAAGGACCCCCGCGGCTGGAGCGGCATGGGAGGTGGGCGGTAGGGAGGGCTGAGATGGGGTGGGCGCGTCTTTCACCAGGAGGTATAACAGCAAGATAACCAAAGGACCGGCATCACAGAGGGTATGGGCCACGAATTCAGGGCACAGGCCTCCTCCTTGTGCATCATCGCATGGGAAGGGAGCCAGGGGGCTATGGGACTGACAGCAAACGAAAAGAGACTGACCTCCAGCATCCCAGAGAGTCAGCAAGAACGAAAGGCTCAAGATAGCTAACGGACCGTCATCAAAACGGCCCCGGACCGGGAGGGCATAGGCCAGAGCGGCTTAAAGCAAGAGAGGTGGTCAGCACCATGATCAGGAGAGATGAGTGAATCCTCAGTTGTGGGAAAATGGCCAGAAAGGAAGGGAGGAATCTTACTGATTTGATAGGATGTAGAGTTTCCTATGATCCTCCAACCGGAAAAATGGTGGGTGATACGGGGTCCCAAAAGCTCCTCAAGACTGCGGGTGGTGGGCAGAAGAAAGCAGTAGGATTGTCCGGAAATGCTGGGTGCCGATGTTATGATTTATTACTCGGGGGGTGGGGGTGGGGGAGGGACCCCGAGGGTATCCTGCATACAGGGAAACATGCTGGGCAGATGCAGCCACCGGCTGAGGTGACCCACTCCGTGCAGGCATGGTGGCGGGGCAGCAGGTGAACATTCACAACCTAGAGGCTGCATCTGCGTGGAAATGGTTTGTTATAATGGGGGATAAAGAGAAAGAAAGGAAAAGACAGAAAGGAGAGGGAGAGAGAGGAAGAGAGAGGGCAGTGTTGAGGGGTGCACATCTCATGGGAGTGGGGGGAGAGGAGAGAGAGAAATGGGTGGAGTTTTTCCTTAAAAAGAGACTTTTATGTCAGGACACAGAGTGGCGCCAAGGGGCGGGATCAGAATATTAACAGCCTTCGTCTTATATTTGGTAAAACAGTCTGAGGCAGGCACGGTAGTGTTAGGTCTTCTTTAATGGCTTAGCATAGAGAATTAAGCAACACCCTTGGCAATAACCTGTGACATTTGGGGATGGAGGATTCAACAAGACGAAATCCATCCTGGCACTGGAGGATTTACTGGTGGCATAGGATGTCTATTTGGGGTTTTGTCTTCCCCATTATATGATGACTGTTTAAATTTCTTTTATATATGTATCTATTTTAGGAAGCTTCCGTAGTAACAGGTTTCCATGTGGCTTTTCAAAAGGCCTTTGGTGTTAGTATCCCTCCCTCCCCACACTCCTCCTTTACCCTGCCTTCCCATCCCTCCCCATCCAGTCCTCCTATTCTAGTCCCCTTTATCTCTTTACAGCACTGTACACTATTTCCCCTTCCTTGGAAGATCCCCTCCTCCCCCGGTCCCTTACTAGCTACCTAACCTCTGGTTATTCCAACTGAAACACACAAGGTTAAAGCTTAAAAGCTCACATCTGCATATAAAAGAAGACACGTCCTCTTTGTGTTTTGGTATCTGGTTGCCTCACTCAGGATGATTCCGGCTTGATCCATTTACTGGCAAATTTCCTGATTTCGCTTTTCTTAGCAACTAAATAATGCAAATGTATTACATTTTAATTATCCATTCATCAGTTGATGGCCACCTAAGCTGTTTCCAATTTCTGACTATTGTGAATAGAACAGCAATAAACATGGATGAGTAAGTTTCTCTGTGGTAAAACAGAGTCCTTTGGGTATATGCCCAAAAGTGGTACAGCTGGATCTTGCAGTAGATCAATTTTCAGCTTTCTGAGGGACCTCTACACTGATTGCCATAGTGGCTGGACCAGTTTGCACTCCCACCAGCAGTAAATGAGTGTTCCCCTGTGTCCTCACCAGCATGTTCTGTCATTTGTTTTATTGGTCTTGGCCATTCTGACTAGAGTAAGATGAAATCTCAAAGTAGTTTAATTTGCATTTCCTCCAAACATCATTGCCAAAGCTGTTGGTTTCTCTCCACAACCTGATGGTAAATCCCTGTTGATGAAGACACAACTTACTTACGTCTTTGAACAGGTATAAATCAAGCTGGTGCCCAACTAAACGCCTCACCCCTACTAACTAGTGTTCATGGTACTAGAAGGTACTTTGTAGGCTACTGGAGGGGAAAGTAAACATCAATACCTCTCAGCTACAAACACTGCAACCTGCAGCAGCAACCTGACTGCAAAATATACTGGTGCCGTAATGACATGACTATTATGGGAGTAACCCAGCACTTTTTGATTGGATTTAAGGCCCACTCCATGAGATGGAACCCATACATGACACTCTAAAGTGACCAAGAAAACTGAAAGTAGATGGGCCATGGACCCTGGGGCAAGCCTACTATTATTATTCTGCTAAAGGAACCTAGCAATAAAATGATTCCTAATGACATACTGCAACACCCTTATGTGATAGTTTGAATGAATTGCCCCCATAGGCTCATGTATTTAAATGTTTAGTCATCAGAGAATGGCACTATTTGAGAAGGATTAGACAGGTGGCCTTGTTGAAGTAGATGCGACCTTGTTGGGGAAAGTGCATCACTGGGCATGGGCTTTGGGGTTTCAAAAGCCCATGCCGGGCCTAGTTTACTTTCTCTCTCTGCTTGATGATCAGGATGTAGCTCTCAGATACTTCTCTAGCTCCACTCCTGTCTGCCTCCATGCTCCCCACCACAATGATAATGGACTGAACCTCTGAAACTGTGAGCCAGCCCTCAGTTAAATGCTTTCTTCTCTAAGAGTTGCCTTGGTCATGGTGTTCTTCACATCAATAGAACAATGACTAAGACATCATATTTCAAAAAAGCTTCTTCTTGCAGTGGATGGGAATTAACAAGAGACACAGAGGCCCACAACTGGACTATGCACAGAGAGTGGGAGACTTTGGATTAATCAGCCCTAAATGAGATGTCTTTATCAGATCCCTCCCTTCAAGGCTTAGGAATTTATGTGGAAAGGAGGCAGAATGACTGTAAGAGCCAGAGGTGACAGGCAACCTTACTCCAAGGAACAGGGTCTTCCAAACATAACAGGACTGATACACATGAACTCACAGAGACTATGACAGCATGCACAAGTTCAAACCAGACAAAATTCCAGCACACAGAACAGACACAAAGTCCCACCCCTGATCAAGAAGCTATTTACAGTTGCTGGAAAGGAGAAATCGGTTTTCTGCAAAGGCATGTCACTGGGTGTATCAACAACATTCCAGGGCAGGCTCCGGATCCAGGAGCAGCCGAACACAAAAGGGACTTTGTGATCTTATGTTTGTCCTGGCCATTGTTTCCTGATGGTTTTGTTTTGTTTAAGGTAAAGAGAGAACATGAAATTGGGGTAGCGAGGTGGATAATATACAAATACATAAAGGCAAAAAAAAGTGAGTGGTTGTCTGGAGCCCAGGGGAGGGAGAAGAGGGGTAGGAGAGGAGAGGGCTGGGGAAAGGGAGAGCTGGACCTTACTAAAATGCCTTACAATTGAAAGTCGTACTGAGAAACTCAAAAGCCAGGCATGGTGGCACACAGCTGCAACCTTTGCATGTGAGAGATGCAATCAGAAGAATCATGAGTTTCAGGTCAGTCTCAACTGCGTAGCAAGACTCCATCAAAAACCATGACAATGAGATGGCTCAGGAAGTAAGGTACTCGCCACCAACTCTGACACCTGCGCTCGATCCCAGGACCCACAAGGTGGGAGGAGAGAACTAACTCCCTCGGCTTGTCCTCTGACCTCTGCATGCACACTGTAGTATGTGCACACACAGTTGCATATGTGCACACACACACACACACACACACACACACACACACACAAATAATTAAATATCATTTTGGAACATTTAAAAAGAAATCAAAGAGCAAGCCAGAAACCGGTATAAAACCTTTGCAATCTTATCTATACCTTACACCAGCGATGAGGACATTACTCAATAAGTGACCAAAGCTTCCGAAGGACCCGGCTTAAAAAAGAGACAGAACCTGGTATGGCTCCAGGCCTCAGGGGATCCAGTGCCCTCTTCTGACCTCCCCAGGCACTGAACTCACGTATACATATTTACACAAATGTAAACACATACACATAATTAAAAATAACAAAACCATGGCTAGAGAGGTGGTGTGGGGTGAAGAACACTGCTGGGTTTCAATCCCCAGCACCTATGTGGTAGCTACAGTCTGTCACTCTAGTTCCAAGGGATCCGAGGTCCTCTTCTGGTTTCTGCAGGTACTGTATGCATGTGGTGCACAGATATATGTGTAGGCAAAACACCTATACACATTTTTAAAAATTAAAATCTAGAAGAACAGTATATTGTTTTAATATAATAATATTATATAGTAAATATATATACTTACTTATTATAATATATAATATATATTAAATATATATATAAATATATACTAATAATAGTAAAATAAATCTTTCTTTTAAGAGTACACTAACCAAGTGTTTCCATGATGAAGAACATCCAGAATTCTCATACTGCTGAGGAACGAAGCAAAGCCTAGCCATTTGGGAAAACTATTTAGCAGTCTCTTACAGAGTTACACACACACCTACCACATAACCCAGCAGTCCTCCTCCAAATATTTATTCAACAGAAACTAAGATATATATCCACAAAGACCTTGCATCAAATGTTCATAGTTGATGTGTATATAATAAGCCAAACAAGAAACAATCCAAACGTCCATCAACAAGTACAGGAACAAACAAATCACTGTATGTTTACACAATGGAACACTGCCCAGGTTTTTAAAAGGACAAACTGCTGATAAACAGAGCATGGATCATTTCACGAGACACGATGTTGGGCAAGAGAAGTAAGAAACAAAAGTGCGTCCATAATGCAGTGCCATTCACACAAAGATTAAGGCCGGGCTGCACGGTCCATGTACCTAGTAACCACCTCATGGGTTAAATAGAGGTTACATTGAGCAGTGAAGATCTGTGCCATTTAATTTGTGTAAAATAGATTGCAGCTATTGTAATGCTTTGTTAAATTGTCAATTTGGCATGATCTAGAATCACCTGGGAAGACATTCTCAGTGGGAGATTGGTTCAGAGTAGGCCTGCAGACATGTTTGGGGAAGGTGGTTGTCTTAAATTAATGATGTTAACTGTGGGCAGCACAGTTCCCAGTGTAGGACCCTGGACTGTGGAAGGGCAGAGAAAGCTAGGCCAGCAGTCAGCACGTGTGCATTCATTTCTCTCTGCTCTTCTTGGCTGTGGATGTGCTGTGAGTTCCCAGGGACGTGTGCATTCATTTCTCTCTGCTCTTCTTGGCTGTGGATGTGCTGTGAGTTCCCAGAGACCAGGAACCGAGCCGAAGTAGACCCTTTCTCCTCTAAGTAGCTCACAGTGTCAGAACACAGCAGCAGAGACAGAAGCAGGGTCATTCCGTACTGTGCTTCAGACCGGTGGCAGCTCGCCTGCTTTCTGCGCTTCTACCAGCAAAGTCGTGCTCACAAGTGGCTGGGACCTTGCCAGCTTTTGCACCACTCCAAGTCCATTCCTTGATGAGATTCGCTGCCCCCTCTCTTATTTGCCAGTGATCTGGTATCTGGATGGGCCGTCATTTTGAATGGCAGCTGCAAGCTCTGCCATAAGTATGTAAAAACTTTTCCTTGGAACAGTTAATTGAGGAACATAGGTCAGTATTTTTCCAAATATGCAGGGCTCTCACCTTTGAGCTCTGGTCTGGCTGTGTGACAAGAATGGTCAGATTCCAAAGAATAAGCAAAGTGCTACCCATCAAGGATGCTCATCCAGAGAGACCCACGGAACCAGGCTGCGTCAGAAGCTTGTGGCTCAATGTCTCTGCTCCACCGAGTTCCTCAAAGGCTTGCAGAATTGTTTCAGAGTTGGAAGAAAGGATGTATTTTCTAAAATACTAAAATAAAATGAAACAAAATTATAAATACTTAAGAAATAGAATGTATAGCCAAACGAATGGAAACACATGAACTATGAACCAAAGGCTGAGGGACCCCCAACTGGATCAGGCCCTCTGAATAGGTGAGACAGTTGATTGGCTTGATCTCTTTGGGAGGCATCTAGGCAGTGGGACCAGGTCCTGGGCTCGCTGCATGAGATAGCTGTTTGAAACCCGGGACTTGTACAGGGACGCTTGGCTCAATCTGGGAGGAGGGGACTGGACCTGCCTGGACTGAGGGTCGATCTCAGTCCTCGGGGGTGGCCTTGATCTGGAGGTGGTGGGAATGGGGGGTGGGCTGGGGGAAAGGGGGGGGCAGGAAGGGGGAGAACAAGGGAATCTGTGGCTGTTATGTAGAACTGAATAGTATTGTAAAATAAAATAAATAAAAGAAAAAAAGAAATTAAAAAAAGAAATAGAATGTAAATCTTCTACAAACAGCCTTACATGCATAAATTTTATATATATGTATATATGTAGAATATACACATATAAATTATCATATGTAAATAATGCTAAATTGATACACTGGTACATTTTAATATGCTTGGTGAAGGATGAAGGATGGAGCATCCAAAAGAGATTTGCCTTAGTATCAGGAAGTCAGGGAAAAAAGCCTGCCTTGATTACATCACAACCACATTTCTGTTAAATAAATATTTCCGTGTTCTCTTTTTCTCTGTCTGTCTGTTTGTCTGTCTTTCTTCCTCAATTTAATTTTGTTTATTTGCAGTGGCTCTTTCATTTCTCTGACCATATTGGAAGCCTTCATGGTCGTGGCAACCAGAAGCCCAAATTCTTGAACAGAGAATTTTCAATGCACACGAGACGCCTGGCCCCAGCTAGGCCCTCTCTCTCCTGAGGTCTCTCAGTCAGTAGCATACAAGGATTCCCTCTGTTTCTTACCTGGCTGCCTTGAGCATCATCCTACAATTTGCAAATGCAACTGACAGCATTTTAGGTCCCATTATCTGGGATTGTGGCAGCAAACTGCGTCCCTCAACTCAGTATCCCAGATTCTGGAAAATTCCTAGGGCATAAGTCATTTGAATCTGTGTTCCATCTTTTTTGTTCCTACTTGACCTTTGGGGTGGAATGGAAGGAATATTCTTTCATAATGGAGTAATGTGGGCTTTGAAGTCAGCCAGACCTACGTCATTTATGTTTATCCTGGAAAAGGTCTCAGGGCTTGGCCATCACTTAACACAGGGTGGAAATGGCACTGGGTTTGGAGTTCCAGTCCAGGGTCTGCCAGTTACAGGCGTTGTGACTTCACAGATGTCTTTTCTCTCTGGGCCCCATTTATTTCACCTGTGAGTGGAAGAACCCCGTCTCCTGGAGCCACCTGGCCAAACCGTACAGTGTGTGTACAGCGAGGTTAGCACAATGCCTGGCATGCAGGGAGTGCTCAGAGCACAGTCGAGCAAAACGATTAATAGTCACCAGGGGCTGGAGGGAGAGGGAGTCGGGGGAGGGGGGGGGGGCCCGGGGGGACTGCTTACTAGATACTGGCTTCCTTGTGGAATGATAAAAATGTTCTGGGGCTAGATATTAGTGATTATTGCACAATATTGTTAATGTCCTGAATGGCACACCATTACACACTGCAAAGTGATTTAAATGGGGGAGGGGGAGGATATGGTTCAGGGATAGAGTATTTGTCTAACATGCATGAGGCCCTGAGTTTGATCCTCACACCTCAAAAACAAGATTAAACAGTTTATATTACGTGTATTTTACCACAATAAAAGATGAACAACTACCATATCTGCATTTACACCCCATGGGGTGAGGAAATGGAGGAGGAGGAAGCTAGGACCAGCCGGAAATTCCTCCCATGAGAGCAAGAACTGAGAAGCAAGACAAAAGTGGACACCTGAGTGCAGCGCAGTGGGAAGGCAGAGCCTGGGTCAGTGGGTGTCACGGGGTGCCACAGGGAATGGAGGGCAGAGCAGAGGAAGCAAATGGCATCACTTTCCAGACTCCAGGGAACCCAGCTGTGCTCAGTGAACTTCGTCATGGTCATCGTGGTGCACAGAGTGCAAGTCACAGATGTGGAAGGAGATAGCAGGGCCTGGAAGAAATGAGTCATGGGAGAGGAAAGAAATGTCACCCACCCACCGAGGGAAGCACAACCGCAGGCCAGCATGATATGCGCTCCATGAGGCCTGCCACAGACTCGCCTGAAGGGAGCTAACACTTCCAAAGCCTGTCACACCCAGCTCCATCTATTCTCCCACTACCCACTGTGATTCGCCTCCTGGATGACCTGAGTGAGGCTCAGGCGAGGCAACCCACGTTTGGGAACGTAACTACCACCCATCAGACCACCACCAACCTTGCCACTCCAGAGACATCTGACTTTGAACAAGTTGTCTGTTTTTTCTTCTTCTTTTTTGGTGTGTGGGTTCATGCTCCTGTGTATGAGTAGGGTCATCTGTCTGGTGATGCACCTGTAGAGGTCAAAGGACAACCTCAGGGGTGGTCCTCACCCTCCACCTTGTTTGAAACGGGGTTCTTGTTGTTCAGCACATCAAGCTCATCCACCTGAGAGTGTCTACAGGTTCTTCTTCTGTCTACACCTCCACCTCATCCCACCACAGACTTGTGGAATTATGGGTATGTCTAGCTTTATATGGGTTCTGGGGACCCATACTCAGGTTCTAACCCTTGTATGGCAAGCACCTTAATCATGGAACCCCAGCCCCAAGTTGTTTGAATTTTCCAAACCTTAATTTAGTCCCCATGAAACAGAAAAGCCTTGCTCATGGTGCTGCCAGGAAGGGTCCCCATGTCAGGCAGTGACGCTTCACCACAGGGCAGACTCCCGATAAACAAACTCTTTCCCCTCCAGGGATCCATTTTCTCTTTCCACCAGCCCCCAGAGCAAGAGAGACATGGAAGTGGATATTGAATAAAGGAAGGACCCATCTTACATGGTAAGTGAGTATAAACAGTAACATTTAAAATTCATGGCTTTATTCATAACAATCCTGGGATGGAAACAGCATAAATGGCCATCAACAGGTAACTACATACATACACATTAAATATTTACACAGCCAAAGAGATACCCTTGATTAAAAAAAAAGAAGCCAGACACACACTAAAAGAACACACCACGTGACAATATTCAAGTGAAGTTTATAAGTAGTCAAAACTGACCTGACCATAGGAGTCACAATAGCAGTTAGCTTTGATGTTCCTGACCACAGAGGAGCACAAAAGAGACCTCTGGAATTCTGAAAATGTGCTACATCTTGATGTCCTTGGTGATGTGTGTATGCAGGCTCAGTGTATGATAAGTTATAGAGGGGTGCGAAGCAGGGACCAGACATGGAGATCTGCAAGGTCGTACGACCAGGTCGCCCTAAGCCTTCAGCTGTGCAAATGACTCACACATATGTTTAACCAAAAGCATAGAGATGGAGCGCCAAAGAAATACGTAACCGAGCCTGGGGGTGGAATCAACTTTAAATAAAACTAGAAGAGTGTGTAGTGAGAGAGTAGAGAGGAACTGCCTCCTCCATCCCCGAGACTAAAAGCAATTTGATTTTTCTTCTTTATTAATGTTGCTTCTGACTGGTGAGATGGCTCAGTAAGTACAGGCTCACTGAGAATGCAGTGACCTGTGTCCCATCCCCAAGTCCCATGATGGAAGGAGAAAATCAGCTCCTGAAAGTTGTCCTCTGACCTCCACATGACCTTAGCATGCACACACCTGCACACACTAACAGGGTTTAAATATATAGATGTGTGTGTGTGTGTGTGTGTGTGTGTGTGTGTGTGTGTGTGTGTGTGTGTGTGTGTGTGTTTGTGTGAGAGAACTCACATACCACAGTGTGTGTGTGTATGATTGTGTGAGAGCACTCACATACCACAGTGTGTGTGTGGAGGTTATTGGACAACTGCATGGGTCTA